TGTTATTATACAAATTAAGTCTTTATATAGTTGATATGTAATTACTTATATAAATTAATCAATAAAGATATGAGCAAAGCCTCACCTTAATACCAAAAAAAAAAAATAAATAAAAAATAATTAAATTACCGATTAAAATGAATTTGGCATAGTTTATATAAATGTTGTAAATGTTCTTCACATGATAAATTATTATATTTAGAATGAAGATATTGTCCAAGTCCTTTTTAAATAAATTTTAAATCAATTAAATGTTAGTTAGAATTAAATTAATATTATTTATAAAAATTTATAAAATTTTAATTTTTTATTAAGTCAATCTATTTACCAAGTACTTGACCTTGATGTTCATCAGCAATTAAACAACCCAATCCACTTCCATGAATATGCTGAAATTTAAATGGTTTTTGTGTATCATTTTCAATAATAGTAAATAAATCTTCAAATAAATGTTAATATGCATTTGCTAATTGAATATTTGTAAAAGCTCTTGCAAAAACTAATGCTATAAAATTATATATAATAATATTATTATTTATTAGTTTTTATAATTATAAAAATAAATATATATTTACTTTTTTGATAGCGATTCACATATGCACAAATTTCCCATTTATTTGTAGCTCCATGAATTCGTTTAAATGCTATATCAATTTCTGCATTTAATGATTGAGCAAAAAATTTTGATTGCTCTTTTTGTGTACATAATACAAGATATTGTCTATTATCAAAAAATCCTATAAAATTTTTAATTATATTTTAAATCAACAAATAAATAAATTAATTAAATATACTAATTTTTTTACTTACTAGCCATTTGAATATATTAATCTGGTATGATAAAATTTTACAGGACAATTTTCTTTGTTAATTATTATTTCTTTTCTAATTTGAGTATTAGTTCTATAATAACGGTTCATATCTCTAAACGGGGTTATATCACTATTTCTAACCGAATTTGTGGTTTGAATGTGCTGATTAGATCACAAATATTTCTGATGTATTCATGCATAGTGATTCTTTACGAGTATCACTCCTAAAACCTTAAATTTTAGGGCATTTTTCTCTGTGATAATCAGCTCGTGAAATTCACCATAGAGATGTGAACCATTATTCACTAAATATAAATTAATTAATAAAATCCTGTGAATATTCAATAGATTTATTAATAAATTTATATTCAGTGAATAACGGGGGTCATATCTCTAATTCACCAGAATTAAGATTATTATTAACTCAACTCGTGCCTCTATTAGTATTATCCGGGACCTAATAAGTCCCACAAAGTAAAGATATGACCCGTTATTCACTGAATATAAATTTATTAATTGATGATCCACCAGTCAACCAGAGAATCATGTAACTCAAATTACTTATAAAAATGTAGATCTTCCAAATGTGGAGTGCACGCATCTAAAACTTTTTTTAATACTAAGTTAATTATTCTTCTGACTTAAGAGATTTTTGTAGAGCCTGTCAAGACGCATCTAATGGTGGGTAGGCGTCAAAATCGGCCTTGTGGGTGTCAAGATATCTTTAAAAAACCTTTCTTTTACTATGTAACTTTCTTTAAAAGTTACTATATAACTTTTAAAGAAAGTTACATAATAAAAGAAAGGTTTTTTAAAGATATCTTGACACCCACAAGGCCGATTTTGACGCTCCACTCGCCATTAGATGCGTCTTGACAGGCTCTACAAAAGTCTCTTAAGTCAGAAGAGTGATTAACTTAGTATAAAAAAAGTTTTAGATGCGTGCACTCCACATTTGGAAGATCTACATAATTTACTATAATGATTTTCTGGTTGACTGGTGGATTACCAATTAATAAATCTATTAAATATTCACCGGATTTTATTATTAATTTATATTCTGTAAATAAATGTTCACATCTCTAGGTGTGACTGAAATATGTATAGTATAAAAAAATAGACAAGTCACCGAAATAAAATTTTTTGAGCACAATCTTATGCAATCCCATTGTAGATTTAGTCAAAAATTTTTGTTTTCTAGAATTTTTACTTAATTTTCTTTGGTTTCCTTTTGTAAAGTTCTTCAGCTTTTGAAACATCTTTTTTAATACCGATTCCTTGAGAGTAGCACATTATTAAATAGTCTCTGGCTTTTTCTTTAAATTTTGAATTACTGTCAAAAACTTCTTTATAATAATTAAAAGCTTGATTTTTTTCATTACTTCCAAAACCTAAACCTTTTTCAAATATAAATGCTAACCGAAATTTTGCTTCAATTGCAAAATTTTTTTGCTTGCAATGATCAATAACGCTAGTTAAAGAGCAAATTGAGGCTAAATAATTATTTTTATTGAGCTCTGCTATAGCTAATTTAAGGAGATGTCAGTATGAATCTTTGGATTCCTTGTTATTATGTCCTTTTTAGACAATGAGGTCGCTTGATAAGCTTTGTAATATAGGACACTATCACGGACATGAGACATTGTCCAGGACACAGGATATCATCCGGGACTGTCCACGTCCTTGAAATTTTGACAGGACAATGTCTGTGTACAACACTGTTCGAGACTATATGTTTTCTTCTTTATTTATATAAATAGCCACGAAAACAAAAAATACTTATAATATCTCACGATCCACTGGACCAATTTTAATAGTTTAACTGCCATTTTGATTGCAAGACACTCTTCTACAAATTTAATTAAAGTTGGAAAGAGATTTACTTAGTAGAAATTTGTATTTTTTATAATTTTACTAACAAAATTATGAAAAAATATTAGAATTCTCAAAATTTTACTATGATAATTAATTATATCTTTAATATTTTGTTATATATATATTTACTTTATATTTTTTAATTTTAAAAAAAATGCTTAATTTTGAAACTTTTAATCAAAAATTCAAATAATTAAAATTGAGTTCCAGACATATGTATTTACCTAGTATATATTAATCACCATTTGATCAGAAAAAAAACTACGTATTTACCCGCCACGAGTACCCGGGTACAGAAGCATGAAAGTATCATACTTAGGTACCCGGGTATAAATCAAAAATTGGCTGCCAAAATCATTACAGGGTACATTGCACGGGGGGTCTACATGTTGAGTAAATACGATATTTTTAGAATTTATTAATAACGCGTAGTACTCCGCAAAATCAAATTAAAATTTGAATTTGCGGAGTACTAATGACGAATAAGGTAAAAGTTTTATGATTGACTATAAAAATACAGTACTTTCAATCTTCCTCTTCAAATATTTTAAAATAAACAACGGTGAAGTGACACGTGTAAAATTCGATTAAAAATATAAAAGCAACTAACAGGATATTCTTACGTTAATTTCTTTGTTTAATTAATATCTAATATGCTTAATTTAAACAACAGTTAATTAAATTCTTGAGCTAATACGCTTTTCTCTCCAAAGCATCAAGGTTATTATTTGAAAGATTCAAGGTAGTTAAAGTGTTATTTTTCAGAAGAGCATCTGCTAATGCTCTCTTGCGCACAGACCCGAATTTTTTCGATGTATATTAATTCATATCAATAACAGATATTTATTCATATCGTCACAAAATGAATTTACAATTCTTTCAATTGTTGGTTTATAAAAATTATTAGTCTTGCCTCTCATGTAATATACAAATAAGTCAAATAGGTTTCTATTTTTTATGTTTTTCCTTTTAGCATAATCAATAAAAAACTGTTCTTTTAAATAATCAATTAACTCATATTCGCTAATATACATATTAATGTTTTTGCTATTTTTATTGTATGAAAATGGTTTTAATCAGTTTTGACCATCTTCCATCTTGGTTGAATTATTAACAACCAGTATCTAATCGTTTTTTTTTTTTTTGAATTTATTATACTGCATATTTTCTTATAAGCTTGTTTAGTAAAAATTCTTTCATTACAAACAAAAAGTTTACATAAGAATGCATGGTAACAGATTTCAAAAGAAGTATATTCGGTGGTAGCATCTTGATTAATAATCTCAAGACTGTACATTTGTAATAACTATTTTACATAAGAGGTAAAATTTCCGCCTAACGCTGATATGATAAATATTCAAAAGATAATCTATGCTTTATACTGTATTCCACAATAATCAGGTAATTTAGTACTTATAATTTTAATATCATTTGAATCATCTTAATAAGACGATTCAAATAATATTAACGTTTCTAGTATTTGTTATTAATAATATTAGCGCAGAAATTTTAACATACACACCGTTTTTTAAATGAAATCAAATCGGGAGAGATTATCCTGTCAATTTAGTCCAGGATGCAGTACCTACTTGTTAGAATAATTGTTATTTATTATAGTTCACAAGTACAACTTTAAAGACAAAGATAGTTATAAAGCCAAAATTATTAAATAATTATAAGCAAGAATTTTTCGCCAGCAAATTTATTGTAATTGTGAATCTATTTAAAGTTTAATAATTCTAAAAATTGGTTTTTACTTTCAAAAATTAATGGTGCTAATCAATGTAAACAATTATACATTTTATTTTTATTCAACTTGAATACATTATCTATCTTGATATTGAAATTTTTTTTTTGGATTGACAATCGCGGGAATTTATGAGATCTAATGTGATGTGATTTAAATTTGTTGAGATAAGGTTATGAACTAGCTATTCAAAAAAAACTACAGTTAACTATAGTATGGAGTACAATTTATATAGGCTTAATTTCGTTGATTCTGGCAAAATTAATGCAAAATTAATCTTGATAAGTAAATTTCACTTTCACGCAATAATTAACAAATGGCATGAAATTTAAATGTGATAATATATTCAGTTTTATTTTATCTTAGATCTTGCACAAATCTTACATAGCACCTGAGGAATTATGATTAATAATGCGGTAGAATTATCCCAATGAAGTCCCAATGAATTTTTGAGATACGGCAAATTGAATTATGGCTTATTTGTAGCTTAATAAAAAGTTACGCCATGCCATAACTTTTCGTATCAAAAAATCCATTGGGACTTCATTGGGACGACTCTACCACATCACTAATTACAATTATTTCTAACAATAGTTTATTACGTATATCTATTTGTAACTTATCATTATTGTCACCTTGTTTAACCAATTTATTTAAAATGACTTCAGTATCTTGAAGTTGTGATTTTAAATTTTTTAGCAACTTCTATTAAATAAAAATAAAACATACAATATAAATATACAATATAAATTATAACATACGACTTAATATTTATACCTTAATTCCCACTAAAGATTCAAGATAATCTACAGCATGATGTTTTAATTGCATTTTAGATGGTACATTTTGTCAAAACAAACATTACCGGCCTAATAAACTTTCTGGAATATCGTAAACAGTGATCTTTAGTTAATCATCTTTATAAAATTAAAGTCTTAAGTTAAATTAAAACAACTTACATTTCATAAATTAACTAAATAAAATACCTGAAATCCTTGCTCCAATTACAAATAAGCTGTGAATTAACTTATTAATGAATATTCACTGGATTTATTAATAAATTTAGATTTAGTGAATAATAGGTCATATCTCTCTACTCCAGACACACAATGCTACGTATTAACCTAGTAATAATAAAATTATTTTGCATGTAATATAAAAAAATATTTTTATATACCGGTCATGCCGAAATCAATAACTTAACCGAATCAGCCAAAAAATCATTCAGCAAATTTTATTAGGTGTTCCAGGAATTATGAAAACAGCTATAATAAATAATAATAGTGATGTTTATTTTTCTCATGTTAAACAACACAAAATTTTAGTATTACCAAATGTTTCAATGGAAATCTAATTGCAGTATCGTTATATAAATTATCAATATTTAAACTTGTACAATTTTAGTTATTATTTATGTTTCACAATCACTATCGCTATTATATTAGTGTTGTGTTTATTAAATAATTTATAAAATAAAAGCAATTCTGAATTTTGTTTTTTTTAAATAGCACTTTTACAAGTTAAATTAAAAAATGCTTGTTTTTGCTATTTTTTGTTTCTTACTATTTTTTTTACGATTGGTCCATACGTTAAATTATAATAATTTACATAAAAGAGCATTATTTTTTGATAAATAAATTTATAGTGATAATGAATATGCCTATAAAAATTGGAGATCCTCCACAAGCATTTAACGTTATGCTTGATACTGGGTCTGGATATCTTTGGATTCCTGCTACATCTTGTAGTAGATGTAAAGGAAAAAATAAATATGATGCATCAAAAGATAAAAAAAGTGCATGTATTAGAACACCTCTTCACAATCCTTATATTCCTCATATTCCTTGTAAAATAAAAACTTCTGGTTATATTGGTGGTAGTGTATCCAGAAATTATAATTTATCAGATTTAATTATTGGAGGACTTAAAGTTACAAATCAATTATTTATAGCAGCAAATAATATTAATTTCCCTGAATTATCATCTGCATATGATGGCATTTTTGGGTTAGGATATGGTCAACAAACTTTCATTTCTTTAAAAAGCCAAGGTTTAATTGATTTTATTCAAATTGCTTTCAAATTTGGAAGAGATAGAGAATCAAAAAGTCACATAACAGTTGGTGATAATAATCCATCATTATTTGTGGGTAAAGTTACTTGGTCAAATGCACTTGGTCCAAATAAGGGATGAGTTATATCTATTGATGATTTTATTGTTAATAATAATAATATAGGACCTAAAAATATTCGTGCACTTATTGATTCTGGATATTCATATTCATTTGCTGATAATAATATTGCTAAAAATATTTATAAGAAAATTCCTAATTATAAGTTTATTAAAAATATATATTATTTACCATGTGATAGTAAAGTTCAAATTAGTATTAAGATAAATGAAATATTGACAATAGAGATATTGTTCGTAGTAATGATCAACTTAATGGATTATGTGCAGGTGGTTTTCAATCTGGTGGTCCTTCTGGTGCTTGGATACTTGGTCTTACATTTTTAAAAAATGTATATAGTATTTTTGAACAATATCAAAATAGAAATAGATTTAGAGTTGGGTTTGCATCTTTAAATATGAATAGCGAATAATTTAAATTATTATTTTTTTTAATTAAAGAATATATATTTGTATTTTTATCTCTTAAACCGTTTCTCCTACAAATTTGCCCTGAAATATTTTTAAAAATTTTAATTTTAAAATAAAATTTTAAATATTAATTTTAGCTATATGTTTTCTAAATAAAAAATGTTCTTTTTAGATATATTCTAATAACTTTATTAAGAAATTTTTTAAAAAACTTAGGAGTAATAAAATTTTAAAGTTTTTATTTTGAACTTTTTACTATAAGATTTTTCTTTAAATTTTTAAACTTTTATGTGTTTTTATTAATGAAAAATTTTTTTACTTCTAATATAAGTCTTAATTTTTACAAATAGATCATAAAAGTTGTAATAAAGAAAGTTGTCATCTTTTGCGCTGTTTTTCCAGAATGTGCTACTAGTGGCTGCTTTGGCTTTGGCTTAATATTTCTTGTTAATATAAATTTTCTTAACTAAAATCTTCTGCAAAAAACGAAAACACTAGCATACCATTTTTATCAACTTCAAATCAACTGTCTCGTTTTACTGACCATCAGGGAAGAATGTTCCAAAATAGAGCATCCAAAATTTGGTTAAAAAATATTTTTTTCTGTATTGTATTTGGTTTTTAAAAAATAAACATTAAAAAATATTATTATTGTATTTATTTAATTATTTGTTTTAAATTTTGATAAAAATATACATTTCATTGGTTAATATCTTTACTATGAAGATATTGTATATATAATTCATTTCTCATCATATTCAATTTTTTATGATATCAGTGTTGACAGCTTGCAATTTATTGTTCTTATTATATTCTATTTGCTAATTACAAGATTATCCATGTTAGCAATGGTATGCTAATTGAAAAAATTGCTTTAAATTTGAACTTCTGAAATTAAATCATCATCATTAGTGCTTATAGGCAAACGATCTGGTGTAAGAAAAATATTATTGTAAAAAAAACTATTTATAACGAAAGAAGAGTATTCATTTCTTTCCTGTTCTATTCAATATTTTTTCTTTGAATATTTGAGCTTCTCATAGCTAGTTATTTTATAAAGCTTCATCCAGATTTATTTTAGATGACTCTTCAAACAAATTTTTATCTTGATTCCTAAAAGTCACCAACTGAGAGGAAAAGTTTAAAATATTATTATTATTTAAATCTTGATAACAAGTCAGATATTATAAAAATAATATAATTAAAACTAAATTTTATTTATATTTTAATATAACCAAATTAATGGTTTCTGTAAAGTTGACATATTTATTGGCATATCAAGAACATAACTTTTAAATCATTTTGACTAAACATCATGAATTATTGATAAATATAACTAAAATAACACAAAAAATAAAAATAGAATTTATATGAAAATATTATTTTGCTTATAATTTTCAAGCATTACAAGCTAAACATTTGGCAAAATCTGGTATGAGTTCGCTAAGAGCAGATATGATATTATTTTGCTTAATTGCCATACAAGCAGCTTGAATAATACAATTTGCAGCAGTAGCTAACTCAAATACATTAATATTAATTTAAGAAAATAATTAAAATATTCATAATTATTTTTTATGTATATTAAAACCAACTAAAATCAGTTTTGATATATAAAAAACAAACCAGATTTCAAACTCTAGTTTAGTATAATTTACCATTTAAAAAAAGCAAATAATAATCCACCAATTGATTCATTATTTTTGTAGCCAACTTTCAACAAATCAATATCTTCATCTTCATTTTTTCTATCAACTTTTAATACTGGTAATATTGGAGGATAACACATTTGAAGGAAATTCAAAACCATACATGTCCAGGTATATGATGATAGGGTTCCGCAAGCTACAATAATAAATAGAATTATATATTAAAAGATTTGAAAACTTATAAATAATTGTTAAAATCAATAGAATATCAGCACATTGTTTTAATTGATTAGGCTTACTTAACACCATTTTAAAGTCTCTTTTGGTTAATAATAAGCATAATTATTGCCATCAAGACATCTAATAGCAAATTGCGATTCAGTTTATTATTTGTATGTTCATTTGATTTCTTGTTATTTAATTTGTTATTGTACGTTCCTTCTTTTTAGGCACTAGCATTTTTGCTAGGACTCTCAATTGAGCTTAAATTCAAAATCATCTTCTTAATCCCCGAATTGTAATTCCTTTTTTTAATTAATTATTTTTCTTTGATTACCGCCACATAATAATCGATAAAATTTTTCGACTATTTACAGGAACCATGATGCGACTAATTTCTGCAAAATAAACTTTCTAATTTTTATCTTTTTCGTAGTACTGCTTTTATTCAACAATACAATTATTACAGAACTTGGACTCGTTGGTGCATATTTGGTATTCATTCATTAACTTTGAATAGATTAATTGTTTGAATTACATTAGATTCAGTTTGGATTATACTGGGTGGTTTTGTTTATTAGATATAATATGCATTTCTCATTCATTTCTCATTATTTTTTCATTACACAGCCCTATTTGGAATTGAATTTAATATCTTCCATCATTATCGTTATAATCGTATACTTTTTTTGGTCATCTTTTGTACTTATTTGAACTACGTTATATTTGCTAACTTTTTCTGGGTTCTGATTTGGATTTGATTGGATGGCTTTGCTTATTTGGTATATAATCCACCCTCATAATTTTTTGATTCAAATATAGCATTAATTATTTTAATATTTCTGTATTTATTGGAGTTGAAAATCATATTGGAAAGATTGAAGATCAAGAAACCTAGTGATATCTTCATGATAATCACGTCAAATAATTAGGTATTCGGCCTACGTTAGGTTAGTGTTAGAGTTTGGTGATATGTTAGTTTTGGCTAATTTGTTTAATGCTAGTAAACAAATAACATAATTATATGATTTCACTTGATATGATTATCACTGGGTTCCTTGTTCTTCAAGTGTCCCATTATATTTATCGTTTGGCAAAATCGGGATCTTATAGAGCATACACTTTATTTGTTTACTTCTTTTGTCTTATATCATTTTATTTTATTTGAATCAGTTAATTCAAAAATTGAAATATGGTTGACAGAATAGATGTCGATAAAGTTTGGACTGGAAAATATCTGGATCGCATCTCTAATTAATGAAGCCCGTCTGTTTATTTAATTACTAATTCTGCAATTGTAGAATACTACTTTTTTCCGCACCATAATTTAAAGTCACGAATTACGTCATTTTATAAAATCAAATTTAAATTATATAACGATAAGTTTTGTAAAAACTTAAAAAAGATCACATGATGATCACTGATCTTTCTAATCTGCAATTTTTGTTTTGATTTAATTGTATGTTTTCAGCTCCCACTTTTTCCACTTTATCGAGGATTTTTTTAACCAAGAAGTGAAGAAGCTCAATGAAATTTTTTTAATTAAGTTTTTAAACTTTTGCAAAATTAAACTTGCTAATAAAGGGTTGAAATTAGAGTACAAAGATAAACTTTTAATATACCAGCTTTATAGTAATAAACTGAAAGAAACAATATCAGGTATGTACCGATTATTCAATCCGAAATAAGAGGATATGTAAACAACTTTTAAATTTTTTCAGGTAATAAGTCAAAAACTAAGTGGAATAAAAACTTTATGAATAAACAATTAGAAGATGCTTTGGGAATATTTCAGGTATGGTTACTTAAGTCTAATTTTTATATTAAAAATAGTATGATTTTTTTGCATAAGCCAATAATTCCAGAATATAATTAGGAACAATATAATTTCCCTGCATAACTCAACGCTAAAACCAGTTTGCTAAATGGCCAATATTTAGTTGTTTGCAATATATCATCTAATATCTTGTATATTTTAATTGGATCCTTGTGATAATTTTCTATAAAAATTGGTTGTTGTTTTATGTTCTAAGAGAATTTGGATGTTTGCAATATATCATCTAATACTCTTTAAAATTTCTACAGATAATATGTAAAATAATTTTCTAATTATATTATAGATTTTAGCTGATTGCAATATATATGAGAAGTTTTGACGAAGTACTTTAATTAAAATTTTTGCCACCATATTACTAATATCTATAACTCTTATGAATTTATAGAAACAAATAGAAAATGGAAACTATTAGATTCTTTAGTTTTGGGCTGATATTACGAAACCATATACTGGTAAGATTCAATCACAATTCCAAATATAATTTATCATTTTGAGGTTAAATAAGATTAAGAAAATAACGATGTTACGGAATTTTAAATTTTTTTATCTAGAAAATAACAATACAGATATTTTATCAAATGTACAGATTGCTATTTATTCGTGTACTGATAAAGCACAACTAATAGCTACTATAAATTATATGAAAAATATTTCAGAAGCTCAGATTAAAGAAATTCTTCTGCGAGCAGAAATTCAAAAAAAAGAAAAAATTATTGAATCATATATGAACTTTCCAGTAAGTTCTTTAAGTCCATTATTTTATTAATAATGTTATTTTTTACTAATATCTATTTAAATTATAGGCAGATACCAAACCACAATGGTTTTTCAAAAAACTAAAAGATCTTGGTAAAATAAAGGAAAAATTTCTAGAACTCTTAATGGGTACAGTACATATTGGGAAACTTTTTTCCTGGTATGCACCCGATATTCATTGATGCAACCTGTATAATGTGGATAAGGAGCTAAATGAGATGTTATCAGCTCATATTAAATACTTAAACCAATTAGGCAAATAAACAATTACTAAACTTAGACTAAGGGTGCTCTCAATGTGATTAGATAATATTATTCTACAATTAATTGTATAATTGAAGCGATCCCTACTGTAATTTTGCCGAAGTCTGACAAAAAAGATGACTTCAACCCTATTTACTGGTTAAACCACTTTTTACAAATTAAAAATTAAGTTCTGAACTATAATAATAATCTATGTAATTGAAAGAATTTTTCACCAACTCTTCCCGACAATCACCTGGACCAAAATTTTCTGCTAAAGAAAAACCAGAACTACTTGTTGGAGAGTCATGGCCTATACAGTGGTTTGTCTAGAGGTTAACTATACTCTCGGGGACTCCTCTAAAAAAGGACATTCGGCATGCAAACTAGGAGCGTTATTATACAAAATAACTGGCAGGTGGTGCTCTTGTATAAAAAATCTTGGTGGAGTATGGGTGGGGAGGCCCAACTCCATCGATGAAGCTGTTTGGTCATTACTTCAATGAAGAACACAGGGAAAACAACAAGAAGCTCTGCTTTTTCAACACACTCGTTTAAAAATTTTGAAAGTACTTGCAACTCTCTCCTCGTATTTTTTTCTTCCATCAGTTTTTCAAAAATTTTTTCCTCAAAAGTGGGGATTTGGCTTACCCCCCCAAAAGATCGACATTGTTTACATCCCAAATCCAGAAAGCCGAGTAGATTACAACTATGTGTTTGATGGATATGGTGCTACTAATGTGGATAGGTCCCGAGTTCAAGGTCGGAACTAAATATTCCGGAGTCGGTCATATGGTCGCAAAGCATTTTATTAGAGATATGCAAATATTGTATTTGTTATATAATTTTTACACTTGCCTGGCACAGGTTATAATAGTATACTTTTCCTTTTTCTTCTGTTTTATTTGTACTGCTTCTTGATAGAGGTAGTTCCTCCCTTTGTTAGCCCTTGGGCTTTTCTCTTTGATTTTCTTTTTTTACTTTTCATTGTACCCCCTTTTATGTTTCCTTTAAAAATTCTCCTTTGTTCTATCTGTTTTTTTTTAGTTAGTTTTTCTTTTTGTTTTCTTGATACTATTGGTGGTTTTGTACTAGATATAAGATCATTACTTT